AAGAGAAAAACTACTCAACTGTCAGTGATAATAAACTCACAACTGAACAATAACAACAGACTTTGGTTTATATTCCACCTCTGCTATTTGACCCCTGGCAAGTCATTTTACTTTCTTGGCCTCAGTTTCCAGATTTACAAAGTGAGGGCGTTGGATTTGATGGTCTCTAGGTGCCTTTCAGCTCTATCTCTGATCCTGTGATCCTTGCTAACCCCTGCCTGGGCAGAGAGAGCCCTGTGGCCCTGAGCAGTAGGTGCTTGGGGAATGTTATGGCTATGACAAAGCATTTGTTAGGGATGGCTGAGAGCCAGGCCCACAGCACCCAGCCCTTCCTCCTTTGACCGCCACCTTTGCGGGTCTAGATCAAGCCTCCTGAGCTTGCACAAACAGAAATTATAAGGCAATGAGTCCCCCTGGGTGTGTAAATTTCCTTTGTAGGTTTTAAAGATTGATTTGTGAAATAACAGCCTGAGATCCCAATGATAATACTTTCTGCTGGTGTCATAGTGTGAGACTTAGTGGTATCGGATTTCAAGGGGGCCAGAGAAAATTCATTTTGCCCGGACTTGGGTAAGATGGGAAATTGTCTGCATGGTATCTGCTTGGTGAACTGTTACTGCCCTCCACTGAAATGTGTGAAGAGCTGTGGTCCCCTGTGAAGATTAGGGTCTGCAACTGAATTGGCATCCCTCAATTGGCCCTTGTCTGTTGGCCGTGGGCGTAGAATCTAGAATTAAAGAGTGTGATTCCTAGAATGAATCATGTCATCTTAGAACCACGGAATCTTTTAAAATTGGATTGATAATCTTGTCTTTAAATCACCTTCTGTTCTCAGTATATTCCTTTACTTTTCCCCCCATCCTTCTTCCCCATCCAGAAATCTATACTTTAAAATGAAGTATAAACATAGGGAGGTGCAGTGGATAGAGTCCTAGGCCTGGAGTCAGGAAGACTTGTCTTTCTGAGTTCAAATCTGGCCTCAGACACTTCCTAGTTGTGTGACCCTGGGCAAGTCACTTCACCTTGTTTACCTCAGTTTCCTCATCTGTAAAATGAACTGGAGAAGGAAATGGAAAAAACCACTCCAGTATCTTTGCCAAGAAAACCCCAAATAGGGTCATGAAGAGTCAGACACGACTGAAACAAATAAACAAAGAGAGTGGTCTTGTGATTCCAATGGTATAAATCTGCCAATGTAGTCTGCACTTTCTTTGCAACTTACAGCCTTAGAGAGTTAGCTAAAACATCGAGAAGTTAAGTGACTAGGGCAGGGTCACAAATCCATGAGGTCTTAGAGATGGGATGTGAACCCAACTTGTCCTGGCTTGAAGGTTAGCTCTCTATCCATTCTACCACACTACCTTTAACTAAGCATCAAAAAGAGGGGGGAAAAAAGCAATCCATTAAAACCAATCAACATATGAACCAAGTTTCATACCCATAGTCCTCTCAGCAAAGGAGGGAGGAGGGTGGAGAATCATAACATCTTAAAATGAGAGAGTCTTAAGACCTTCCAAGTCATTTGGTACAACCTCCAGCCCAATACAACCACTTACTCTATATCATTCTTGACACATGACAATCTGACTGCTGCTTAATCACTTCCAGTGATGAGGAACTCATTACCTATCAAGACAAACCCATCCCCATGTTGGGCATTTCTGAGTTAGATATCTTGGCCATCACCAGGAAAAGGTCTGTGGTGAGCTATTCCTCTGGGCAAATTAATCTTAATTACATTTCGACTAGAGAGGCTGCATGGTACAGAAAAAAAAAAGTGATTTTTCAGTCAGAGAACTTCAATTCAAATGTTAACTCTCTTTCTACTTGTGTGACTCTACTTGTGCAAATCACCTAACCTTCTGGACCTTCATTTCCTCATCTGTAATATGGATGGATTGGATTAGGTGACCTTAGAAATCCCTTTTAGCTCAAGGCCTATGTTCCTGTGACTTTTCTCTAAGAAAAGACAAAGGCCCATAGAGAACCCTCAGCCCAAAGTTTCCTCTGCTTTTCGTTGCCATTTCTGGGGGAAAAAAATTCAGTGAGACTAAGTGTTGCCTCCCTTCTCAAACATGCAGGTATGACCCCGTCTCTTTGATAATGCCTAAAGCTCAGTTTTCTTCGAAGCATCTGATTCCTTCCTTGACTCTACCTTTCTGTGCCAAATGAAGAGTCAGACTAGGTGACCTTCTGGCAGGATGAGAACTAGAAACTAAGTGTTTTGACTGCCTTCCCAACCAGTAAAACCAATCAGTTCTTTGTCTAATTCCTCCTGGACTCCTCTGACTGAAAATACAAGGATCACATAATGCCACCCTCCCCCAAATAGTAATGCCTTTGTTCGGCCTCCAAGATAATATTTGCATTTTAAAAGGGACTTTACTGTCATAAGCCAAAAGGATGAGAATGTGAGACACTTAAGAGAGCCAGTGATATTTCTGGCTGATTTTTCTGAAATATAAGATCATCTCAGATTTTACTTATCTATCTCAGCCTATGTGGATAAATCAGCTTATTTTCACAGAGCACACCTCTCAGTTCAAAAGAACTGATGAGCTTTCTCCAATTGGAGAGAAACTGTTAGGAATCATTCAAAACAAATTGAAATTCTAGCACACTTTGAAAAGAAGGATTACAGTCAGGTAAACCTGCCCTTGTGATAAGCCCCATAAAATGGCATCAGAACCAGAGAATATTAGAACTGAAAGGGATTTTTGGACAAAGAATGTATTAGAATATAGAAAGCAATGTTGGAGGCAGAAGGGAGTAAACTGGAGTAAACCACTTCTCTGAAATGCAGTTTCCTGGTCTTTAAAATGGTGGTAATTATTTTTTCCCTTGCTTATCTCACAAAGTTTTTAGGAAAGAAATCTGTAAATCTTAAATGCTATAGAATTGTGACTTAGCATTTTTTTACATGTTTAGAACATAGAATGTTAGAACGTGAAGAGTCCTTAGAAGTCAGCAAGTTCCGATAATTTAGCTTTGCTATTACAAAATCAGATAGATACAATAAAACTAATTTCTATGTTTGTTAAGTCTGCCCACCTGATGTTGATACTAACAATTCACTGCTCCTGAATGACCCCTAGAGTTTCTCTGATTTATCACAGGATCATAGGTCTAGAGGCAGTGGTATGCTGGTAAAAGGTTTAACAACCAGCTCCCTAGGAGGAAAAAAAGTTCTTTAAAGTTTAATCTGCATTATTAACACTAGGTTAGGTAAGGGGCAGCTAGGTGGAGCAGTGGATAGAATGCCCGCTCTGGGGTCAGAAGGATTTGAATTCAGATCCTGCCTCAGACACTTGCTAGCTGTGTGATCCTGGCAAGTCACTTGACCCTGTTTACCTCAGTTTCCTCATCTGTAAAATGAGGTTGGAGAAGGAAACGAGAAAACCATTCTGGTATCTTTGCCAAGAAAACCCCAAATGGGGCTAGAAAGAATCCTATATGACTCAATGTCAACAACAATGAATTAATACTTTCTTAAGTCTAGACCCTAGGCAATCACCAGAACAAAATCAAGCCCTGTTTTATAGCATTTGTTGATTCCCTAGATGTCAAAGCTCACACTGTAAATTTGACAGTCAGTTTAGCCAGATCCGGCACACACCTGTTCATCTAACCTCCTCATTTTATAGATAGAGAAGCTAAGTCCTGGGGAGATTAAGTAGCTTTTCCAGAGTCACACAGGTCATAAACATCAGAGCTGGGATTGGAACCAAGGTCCTCTGTCTCCAGAGAAAATGTCTCCCCAGCTAAAATGAAATTTCCTGTAAGACAAGGATTATATTTTCTACCTCTTTGGTTCTCTTACCCTATGCTATTACCCCAGTCTAGAGGCAGTGGTATACTGGTAAAAGGTTTAACAACCAGTTCTCTGGGGGTAAAAAAAAGTTTAAAGTTTAATCTGCATTATTAACACTAGGTTAAGTAGGTGGCAGCTAGGTGGTGCAGATACCCCAGGGTACCTACATGGTACTAGGAACATAATAGGTTTATTAAATTAATAAGAATAACTCTCATTTATATTGTATCTATTATATGCCAGGCACTGTGCCAGGTGCTTTATAAACATTCTCATTTGATCATCACACTAACTCTGAGAGGTAGGTGCTATTATCTCCATTTTGCAGATGAGGTAACTGAGGCAGACAGAGGTCAGGTCCTGTGCCTAGGGTCATACAGCTAATAAGTGTTTGCTGGATGTGAACTTATTTCTTCTTGACTCCAGGCCTAGCACTCTATCCTCTATGCCACCTGGCTGCCTCAATTATTAACTGTGATAAAAATAATACCTTCCTGAAATAGTTATTTATGTTTCTCAGTGCTTTCACATGGTTTTTCCTCCTTTGATCCTTGTAACAACACAGGTAGGACAGATGACACTATTCCCTTTTTGATAATAATAATACCTAACATTTATATTGAGCTTATTATAAGCATTTTACAAATATTATTTTATTTGATCCTCACAACAAACCTGGGAGGTAGGTGCTTTTATTATCCTCATTTTACAGATGAAGAAAAGTGAGGCAAACAAAAGATTAAGTCATCTGCCCAAGGTTACACATATAGTAAGTATCTGAGGTTGGATTTGAACTCAGATCTTCCCAACTCCAGGTCTGGTTCTCTATCCACTGTACAATCATAATTACTGCCTTGGAATATTTAAAATTTTCATAGGGAAGGATTAGATTGGTTCTTCTTGATCCCAAGAGACAGAATAAGGAAACATGGACAAAAATCACAGAAAAGCCACCTCTATTTTTACAGACAAGGAAACAGAGGGCCAGAAAGGTTATGTGACTTGCTTAAGATCACTAGGTGAGTTAGTTGCAGAATTAGGACCAGAAACCAGGTTTTTAAACTCTGAGTCCATTGCTTTTTCTGCTATACCAGAATAACATGACTATAGAATCAATGCTACATCTGTCCTATTCTGAGTAAAACTCTCAGTGAGATGTCCCATAACTTGTCTCTGTCTTGCTGCACAGAATTGTTCAGATGCTGCTGCCTGTGACCAGCCGCACACGTATTAAGCGCAGTGGTATAAGCCCCCTTCACCTGGCTGCTGAGAGGAATAATGATGAAGTGCTGGAGGAGCTCTTGGATGCTGGCTTCGATGTCAATGCCATCCTGTCCCCTGAGAGGTCCCGGTTGTATGAGGACAGGCGGAGCACTCCCCTGTATTTTGCTGTTATCAATAACAACATCTATGCTACTGAAATGCTTTTACAGGCTGGGGCGAGCCCAAACCTGGACATCATCAACCCTTTGCTCATCTCCATCCGCCATGGCTGCTTCAAGACTATGGAGCTCTTGCTGGACCACGGGGCCAACATTGATGCCTACATCTCCAGCCATCCCACCACCTTCCCGGCCACTATCATGTTCTCCATGAAGTGTCTTTCACTTCTGAAATTCCTCATGGACCTAGGGTGTAATGGTGATTCCTGCTTCACCTGTCAGTATGGGAATGGCCCCCACCCAACCACACAGGCCATATCAGGCAGGTTCAATGAGATGCCCTTGGACAAATCACCCACTGTTGTCCAGGTAGGTAGAGAAATCCAATACTAGCATAAAATCATAGAACCCCAAAGCTGGAAAGGATCTCAGGTGTCACTGAATCCAGCTTCTATCCAAATAATGAATCTCATCTATAACATCCTCAAAGAGTGGTTATCCAGCTTCCACTTGAAGACCTCAAGATAACCTGTTCCACTTTTTTTTTGGTCCATTTACAGTTGTTGGAAGGCTTTTCTTGACTTTTAATCAACCAACAGGCCTTATTATTATTATTAAGGTCTGGTGCTCTATCCATTTTCACATGGTTTTTCCTCCTTTGGTCCTTGTAACAACACAGGTAGGACAGATGACACGATTCCCTTTTTGATAATAATAATACCTAACATTTATATTGAGCTTATTATAAGCATTTTACAAATATTATTTTATTTGATCCTCACAACAAACCTGGGAGGTAGGTGCTTTTAATATCCCCATTTTACAGATGAAGAACCTACTATGCACCAAGCCCTGTGTTAGATGCTAGAAATACAAAAATAAGAGTGAAATGATTCTTGCTTTCAAGGGGCTTATAATTCTAATAGGGACAACAGGTAAATATATACAGCTAGACATAACATATGCAAAATGAATACAAGAAATTTTATGGAAGAGAGCATTAGCAACTAGGATGGAGGGGGATCTATCAGAAAAGGTGTTAGGTAGAATGTGGCACTTGACTTGAACCTTGAAGAAAACCAGGAATTCTGAGAGACAGAGGTAAAATTACAGGTTTGGGGCACAGCAAAGACAAAGGCATGGAGATGGGAAATGAAATGTCATGTATGCAGACCAGCAAGTAAGCCAATATGACTGGATTGCAAAGTGGCAAGGCATAGTGTATAAGAGGACTGGAAAGGCAGGAAGGGGACAGGTTGTGAAGAGATTTAAATACCCAATATTCTTTTCTGTGATTTTTATCCATGTTTCCTTATTCTGTCTCTTGGGATCAAGAAGAACAAATCTAATCCTTCCCTATGAAAATGTTAAATATTCAAAGACAGTAATTATGATTGTTTTCTACCCCCCTTCCCTTAAAAAAAAAAGCAAAACAAATCTTCTCTTATTTGGGTTAAATGTTAATAGTTCTTTCATGTGGTTCTCATGTCATGGTCTCCAATACCCTTCCCACCCCAGTTAAGCTGCTCTGGATGTGATCCAATTTGTCAATATCCTTCCTAAAATGTGATGCCCAGGATGGAGCATGGGATTGTAGACATGGCCTCATCAGGGCAGAGGCCAGCTGAACTATGGCATTTCCTGATCTGGACTCTGTTCTGGTGTACTCTACATTGTCATGTATGGATTATTAATTGTAACATTTTTAATCAATTCGATTCAATCTAGTGAACATTTATTAAGTTCCTACTGTATGCACAGCACTAGTGATACTAGATACTGAGGAAGCTGTGAAGATGAAACAAAATACATACGCACCTTGCACTCATGGGATTTCAAATCTAACAGGGGGAGAAAGATCTGCGTCACCTTGGGCAAATCATGTCATCCTTTTGGGCATCTGTTATTGAAAAATGAAGGAGCTAGGCTGGGCGGTCGCTACGTTGTCTTTAAATTCCAAACACGGTTGGTTCAGTTTACCTCGAAGACAAAATAACTCTGTGTTTCAATCAGCTTGGGAAATGTCGGTCTAGATCTTGGGGTTATCTTTGCCTTTTCTTCTGCCTCTCCTCTCCTACACCACCAATTACCAAGTCTTATTAATGCCGCTTCACCAGTATCTCTTATGTCTGAATCCTCCTTTCCATCCCCACAGCTCCCACCCTAGTACAAGCCCTCATTACAAACTACCTACCCTACAGTAGTAATGGATCAATTCGTAAAGATTTGTTAAGTGCTGGGGCTACAAAAAGAGGCAAAAGACAGTCCCTGCCCTCGTGGAGTTTACAGTTGAATGGGGGAGACGATAAGCAAACAAATATGTACGGAAGAAGCTAGGTACAGGATAGATAGGAAATGATTAACAGGAGAAGGCGCTAGCATTAAGTTAGTAACCTTCCCATTCTAGGGAGATGAGGAATGTGCGTTTTCAGGATATGATCAGCCTCATCAATTTTTGCCGAGTTGCCTGCCAAACTTTCTCCCTAGGATAGGGATAGGATAAATCACCCAGATGATGGACCAGGGAAATAATTGGATGAACTCTGGGTATCTCTGCCTCAAAACTTTCTTCCTTTCAATCCATCCTGAATACAATTGTAAGATAATCTTAATTATGGATAGATATGGTCATATCACTCCTTTTTTTTTCAAAATAATTCGCTGTTTCATATTTTCTACTCAGGAAAGTTCAAACTCCTGTCTGCCTGGCATTCAAGGCCTTCTATACTTTGACATCAACCGACTTCAGATGAGATTACTGTCTACCTCTTGCAGAGATATAGTCTCTGTGCTTTTGCTTACATAGTTCTCTATATCTGGAGTTCCCTTTCTCTCTTTATTCACTGGTTAAATTCTTGCTTATTCTTTCAAACCTACCTTAAGATGCCACTTCTTCAAGGAAGCCTTCCTGGATTTCCCTTGGGACTCACATAGTAGTTGGCTTTGCCACTTTCTTATGTACTTGTCATGTCATATTCTGTATTTTCTTTATGTATGTTTAACCCTCTACTAGATTGTGAGTTTCCCAAGGTTTCTATCTTATCTAATTTCTCAGGTTTCTATCTTTTCTAATCTGTTCTGTACATAGATGAATGAATCTTCAGCCCAGGGATTCTTGACTCTTTTTTTTGGAGAGGCAATGGGGTAAAGTGACTTGCCCAGGGTCACACAGCTAGCAAGTGTCAAGTGACTGAGGCCAGATTTGAACCCAGCTCTTCCTGAATTCAGGGCTGGTGCTCTGTCCACTGTGCCATCTAACTGCCCCGATTCTTGACTTTTTTTTGTGTTACAGACCATTTTGGCTGTCTGTCAAAGCCTAGGAAGCTAGGTGACTCAGCAGATAGAAAAATGGATCTGGAGTCAAGATGACCTGAATTCAAATCCAATCTCAAACACTTAATAAGTGACCTTGGACAGGTCCTTTAACTTGTCTGCCTCAATTTCCTCATCTGTAAAATGGGGGTAATGATAGCATTTACCTCTTAGGGTTGTTGTGAGGATAAATTGAGATAATTTTTGTAAAGTACTATAAAATGCTAGCCATGAGGACAACTGGGCAGCTTGATGGCAAAGTGAGTAGAATGCTGGGCCTAGAGTCAGGAAGACTCCTCTGATTCTTGAGTTCAAATCCGGCCACAGACACTTATATGACTTTGAGCAAGTCATGCAACCCTCTTTGCCTCAGTTTCCTCATCTGTAAAATGGGCTGGAGAAGGAATAGCAAACTACTCTAGTATCTTTGCTAAGAAAATCCCAAATGGGGTCACAGAGAGTAGGACACAACTGAAAAAATGACCTAAAAACACGGTAATGATGGACCTCTTCTCAGAATGTTTTCAAACACAGGAAATAAAATATATAAGATTAGAAAGGAAACTAATTACATTGCAATCAAGTTATCAAACTTTTGTTTAAAAGCACAAGTTTACAGATCTCAGGTTAAGACCCCTGATTTAGGGGTTCCCTCAATTCTCAAAATCAGAAATAGCAGTAACTAATCTTTGTGCCACTAGAGGGCAGTAAGGGCAGCACCAAAATGAAGGAAGGAGATGGGGACTAGCCAGGGCCGCCTTAGGATGAGAAAGAGCTGCCCTTGAAAATACTTTTTAGAACGTTGCCAGGTTGAGAAATTTGACTAATAAATCAGAAGGGAAAAAAATCGAGTTTCTGTAGCTCTGTTTAGTGTACTGTAGAGATTGATGTCCCCATTTAAAATGTCGTTTAGTTCATTAAATTATTTCCCCAGTCCATCATCTTGGGTGATTTAAAAGTATGCCCCAAGGGGAAGGATAGGCAGGCAACTCTCCAGAAGTTGATGAGGTTCATCATATCCTGCAAATGTATGCTCCTCATCTCCCTTGAACAAATCCATTGACTTCCTGGGATCATATATTTTGTGTGTGCCTGGAAGGGAGCTACCTGGTGTAAGGTCATATATGAATGCCCAGGAAAAGTAGTGATGCTTCAAATACAACGATGAGATGTTTTGATCAGTAATGAGTTGACCATTCCCTGGGAGTATTTTAACAGCGGTTAGAATGTTGTTGGGAAGATTACTGTATTGGGTGGTAGTTTTTTGTTTGTTTGTTTTTTGGTGAGGCCATCAGGGTTAAGTGACTTGTCCAGGGTCACACAGCTAGTAAGTGTCAAGTGTCTGAGGCTGGATTTGAACTCGGGTCCTCTTGACTCCAAGGCCAGAGACCTGCCCCTATGGGGTGGTAGTTTGAACCAAGTGAATCAAAGCTTGGAGGGCCCAGTGACAGAGAGAAGCTATCAGGTCCTCCCACAACACTTCTTAAGGGTAATGCTGTTAAACATAGGAAAGAAAGAAGGAAGAAAGGAAAGAAAGCAATCATTTATTAAACTCCTACTATGTTCCAGGCACTGTGCTAAGCACTTTACACAACAACCCTGTGAGGGAGACACTATTACGATCCCATTTTACAGTTGAGGAAACTGAGGCAGACAGGGTTTTGAACCTTTGCCTAGGGTCACACAGTTAGGAAGTGTCTGAGGCAGGATTTGAACTCAGGTCTTCCTGACTCTGGGCCTAGCACTCTATCCACTGTGCCTCCTAGCTGTCTCCAGAATTCTGGACTGGTTGGACCAGAGTTAAATGTTGGACTTAGTGTGGCATTGTTTGTTATTATTGTTGTTAAGTTGTATCCAACTCTTCATGACTCCATTTGGGGGTTTTCCTTAGCAGGGATACTGGAGCGGTTTACCATTTCCTTCTCCAGATCATTTTACAGATGGGATAACTGAGGCAAACAAGGTGAAGTGCCTTGCCCGGGTTCACACAGCTAGGAAGTGTCTGAGGCTGGCTTTGAACTCTTCAAGATGAGTCTTCCTGATTCCAGGCCCAGTGCTCTAGCCGTTGTACCACCTAGCTGCCTGAGAATTCTATTACATTAGCACATTTGATCCTTACAATGACCCTGTGAGTTAAGTATTACAATGCCATGCCCATTTAATAGAAGAAAACAGGTAGACGGTGGGGAGGTAACTTGCCCAGCATCACAAGGCTAGTAAATTGCATAGTCCAGACTTGAGTTCAGGTATTTGAACTCCAAGTCCCAAGCTCTTTCCACCACGTCATACTTCCTTTCTCATGGCCCAACGGGCTTGGAGCAGGATCAGCAAATAGTCTTAGAACCGTGCTCTAAGAATCTAAGAATCTTAAGCTCCTGGGATTATTATGGAGAGATATTGATAAATGATTGTTGATCGATTAATGGATTGACTGATTGAACTGCCTGTGTTCTTCCTCTCAGTTCTGTGAAATCATCTCTGCCCCCGAGGTCAGCCGCTGGGCGGGGCCCATCATTGATGTTCTCCTGGATTACGTTGGCAATGTGCAGCTGTGTGCCAGGCTGAAGGAGCACATCGACAGCTATGAAGACTGGGCTGTCATCAAAGAAAAAGCAGGTGTTTATGAGTGATGGGTGTTGTCTACTCCTGGCTGGGGAGCTGCCCACTCAGTCTTGTTATGCTTGATTCCCTTCCACGTACCACCTACTTCCTATCTACCTACTCTGGCCTAGATGCTGCTGTTCCTCTTAGAGGGCACTCCATCCCCCATCCCCATGCCTTTTTGCTGACTATCTGTCATACCTAGAATGCTTTCTCTCCTCACCTCCACCTCTTGGTTCGCCTGGCTTCCTTCAAGACTTAGCTGAAGCACCATCCTTCTGAAGGGAGGCCTTTCCCAGCACCCCACTACCCTCTCCTGGTGCTTTTCACTCAGATTACCTTCTATTTCTTCTCTATAATCTCACATGTTATTGACATGTCTCTCTGTTCTGGGCTGGGTTGGACTTGGGCTGATCCCCTGGTCCTGGAGCCTTGATACTGGAATAAAATGAAGAACTTTTAAGTCATTAAAGAGGTAGCAAAAGGAGATTTAGTTAGCCATAGAAAGAGAAAGATAATAAAAATTACTATTATACTATGTTAGGGAAATGCTTGTTTTATTCCATAAATTAAAAATAAAATTTAAATTAAAAAAATAAAGAGAGGCACTGAGGATTTCTCAAGTGGATTCAGCTGAGCAAAGCTCTTTTGCCTGAGTTACCCAGGATGATCCAACAGTCAAACATTAGAGCCCCCCAGTGTGCCTCCTGGCTGCTTTTTCCTCAGGTGATGAGGAAGTGATGTCAACAGCATGAACCTTTATTGCCCTGAGTCAACTAAATCTCAAGAAATGTTTCAGTGCCTTTTCAGGAAAAACTAGCGTTAACTTGCGTGTGTGGAGGAGTTAGGATATTGCTCCTACTACTGTCTCCCCTAATCTCCATTAGATTATGAGCTGCTTGAGGACTTGATTGTCTCTTAGCTACGTGACCCTGATGTCATCTCACTTTTTTGAGCATTAGTTGCTTCATTTGTCCGGTGGGGATGATAATAAATTCCCTACCTACTCATAGGGTTGCAAAGGAAAGTTTTATATATACATACACACACATATATATAATAATTTATATATAATATACATATATGCATGTATATATATCATATATATATATATATATGAGGTATTATTACAAGATTACTGACCCCTGTTCCACTAAAGTTCTAAATCAGAACTGATGCTATTCTCTGTTAAGCCCCTGGCTAGGTTGACTTTCCAGATAGAGAAAGTAAAGATGAGTGTCTCAATATAGTCTAAATTGAACTGGAGATCTGAACCCTGTTCATAGCATCAAAGATCCCTGGAGTTGGAGGGAACCTTAGAGAAAATTTAGTTCAACCCTTAATGAGAAGCAGTTATTCAGTCCCTATTTAAAGATCATTTCCTTTAGAAACACCCCATTCCATTCTGGGGCAGCAATAGCCATTAGCAATAGCCTATTTAAAGCTCATTTCCTTTAGAAACACCCCATTCCATTCTGGGGCAGCAATAGCCATTAGAATGTTTTTCTGGATGTTGAGCCAACATCTACTTCCATGTAGAGGGATCTAGGTGGCACAGTACATAGAATACTGGGTCTGGAATCAGGAGGATCTGAATTCAAATCCAGGCTCAGACACTCACTAGCTGTGTGACCCTGGGCAAATCATTTCATCTCAGTTTCCTCAACTGTGAAATGTGGATAATAACTTTACCTAACTCTGAGGTTGTTGTGAGGGTCAAATGAGATAATGTTTGTAAAGTCCTTTGCACAATACCCAGAACTTAGTGGCACTATGTAAAAGCTAGCTGCTATTATTATTCCCTCCTGGATCACTCTCTTGTTGCACTACATACAAGCTAGGTGTTATTATCATTCCCTTCTGGATCATTGCCTTGTTGTGGTAGAGGGGCTTGTGGATGTAGCTCAATGAAACCATGAACTATGACATCCAGGGTTACCTACTATGGACAGGTCATAGCGGATAGTTCTGACAAAAGGTGATTCACTAGAGAGGGAAATGGCAAACCACTTCAGTATGTTTGCCAAGAAAACCCCATGGACATTTGGTCCTTGGGATCGTGAAGAGTCAGACATGACTGATAAACAAATTATTATTATTAAATCTATGATCCTTTCATCCTATTTCTGTAACAGTAGTTAGAGTCATGAAGAGAAAGGATCCCTGGGCAACCCCTTGACTAAACTCAGTTTGGCTCAGACCTCTATCAAAACCCTACTATGTGCTGCATACAGTTTTAGGCACTCTAGGGGACATGGAAATATAAGACCGAATCATAGATTCCTAGGCTTTCAGAGCTGGAAGGAGACCTTAGAACAGAATTAAGAATGTCAGAACTAAAAGGCTCCTTAGACATTATTTTGTCCAAACCTTTCTTTTTTATTGAAGAGAAAACTTTTTTTTTAATCAAAGAAAAGTGACTTGCCCATATCATGTAACGTATCTAACAATAACACATTTACAGAGAATTTCAGTGTTTATAAAGTTCTTTCCTTCATAATAACCCCAGGAGGTAGCTAATGTAAGTATCTTTATTTCAGTGTTTATAAAGTAGCTAATGTAAGTATCTTTATAACCCATTTTATAGATGAAGGAAATAAAGCTTACTGAGGTTAAATGAGTTGCCTGGTATCACACAGCTAGCAGATATCAAAGTCCGCATTCAAACCTTGGATTTCTACTTTCCTCTTCACCACCCCATTTTTATCCTTTGCATATATTCTTTCTCCATAACTTAATTATTCAGGGTTCTTGAAGAACAATCCTAATAGATATCAAGGTAGGGTTGGGTTGATCTCAGAGGTCAAGATATAATAACGAAGGTCAGTTCAACAAACATTTATGAAGTGTCTGCTCTGTACAAGAAGTTTGATTCTACTGAGTTAAGAACCTACTAGCCCCTTGCCCTCAATTTCTGGGACTCCATTGCTAAGGCTAGAATCTCTGGGTAGGGGTAATAGGTTGAATCTGTCTGAGGTTCTCAAGCCTTCAAATAATAAGTCCTTGATTTCAGTCTTTTTTCCTTTTGTTCTAGAGCCGCCAAGGCCCCTGGCTCACCTCTGCCGTCTGAGGGTTCGAAAGGCCATTGGCAAATACCGCATCAAACTCATAGACACTTTGCCTCTCCCTGGCCGCTTGATCAGATATCTGCAGTATGATAATTCTCAGTAATCTGGCACCCATTGGAGGAAGGTGGAGCTTCCTTTTGAGGTTTTCCGCAACACAGTGATTAAGTACCAGGATGATGATGGCTTCCCAGTGATGATGGTCAATTGACAGGACAGCCCTCAGGCTCACAAGACTTACAGCTACACCATCACTGTGACCAGCACATTGACTCTGGCGTTGGCAGGGCCACAGTCCAAGAGCAAAGAGGGAAAACAAAAGAGTTAGGTGGGCTGGGGGAGGGGGGAAGGGAGAGGGAACAAGAGAGACTTACACAAATGCCGCCGTGACTGGATTTCCAGACTAGAAGACAGGTTTATTGACTTATCACCAATTCCAGATCTTGCTGGAAGTAGAAACTGGTGCGAAAGAAAACCTATCACTTCATAGGTTTTCCAGGCCTTTGGGGTGCAGTCAAGATGAAAGGAGTCTCAAGAAGTCCAGGAAATATAGAAAAAACAAAAGCAACATTTGCCTGGTATGCCGTGATATAGTTGCTAAAGATTAGAATAACCTGTTAGCCTTTCACAGTATCTCAGCCTATTTATTTAGATTAACTTGGCTCCATTTCCCCTCCCCCCCAATTCTTTGTTAAATTTTTTACTTTACTTCAAGAATCATGAAATCTCAGAGTGGGAAGGGACTTCAGAAGGCATCTGGTCTGACCTCATGTTTTGTGCAGTAATTCTTTGTGCAATGTCCCTGATAAGTCCTCAGGTGATATAGAAGCATAGACATGGCCTCAAAATGGTGAAATCCCAGATTCACCACTTAAGAGCAGTGAGAATGTGGGCAAGTCATTCCCTGTTCTGAGTCTCAGTAACTTCCTCTGTAAAATCAGGGGTTGGCCGTCATGCTCTGTGAGGTTCCTTCCAACTTTTGCATCATATGCTTCTGTTTTAAATTTCGCTCATTTTTCTCCAATCCAAACCTGATGATCGCTTCTACTTTCATTTTGAGCACCACCTAGTGGTTCCTTGTTGTGGTGCAGTCATGACCCTTTCAAAGATCCTAGAACATTTTAAAAAATGACTCTTCCTTATCAAGACTTAATCCCTCCATCTCGTAACCTGTGCCCTCTGTTTCTTCTTTTTCTGTCCTCGATTTTTTTTCCTCCTCAGCTTTCTCCTCAACGTATTGTGGTTGGAGACTGGGGACTGTGGTGGGATTTTTGTCTAAAAGTTTCGATAAATATGATGGATGCCTCCTACATGAGACCTGACACCTATCGGCAATTTTTTTCTCCTGACACACTTAATTTTTTAATATAAATGTTTTATTGATGTTCTTCATCTCTGTCCCTTCCCAATGATTCACTCCTCTTACTCTAAAAAACCCTCCTTTGTATCAAAGAAGCATTAGTTATTAGGTGCTATGAACCCAGCTTCTAGATCCGAGTGGATCCTGGCGATGGGAGTCAAGGTTTACTGCAGGAGGCAATGTGGCCACTGACTTATTTCTGTTTGTAAGAGAACTAGGGACACACAGCAAACCCTTCAGGAAAGCAGCTCTGGCCATACAAGTCACGCCCATTTTCTAGTCCTCACACAGAAATTTATCTTTTTGACTTGTTTTCCATACTCTACAGACCAGGGGAATTATGATGAGTCATTATAGACAGGGTCTATAGGGATCACATTATATACCAAGGTCACCTTTGGGAGCCTCTTAAACACATTTATTCATAGAGATACATAAGTCTTCATTCCCTCACGTCTGTTTTTCTACAGGAGTCAAGACACTGGAAAAAAAAATAAAACATACACTTAACACTTAGTGTATGTCATAAGCAAAGATACTGTGATGATTACAGGGCTTTCCTAGAGCTCTAACAATGATAATAATGCTTTAAGGTTTACAAAATGTTTTCTATATGTTAATTCATTTGATCTTCACAACAATTCTGTGAAGTAGCTATTATTACTACCCCATTTTACAAATGGGGAAACTGAGGCCGGGGAAAGTTAAATAACTTGCCTAGGGTCATGTAACATCTGAAACTGAATTCAAGTTCAGTTCTTTCTCACTCCAAAGCCAGCACTTTATCCACTATGTTCCCTAGCTTCCTGATCTCACGCAACACATATACTGGTTGGTGAGGCCCATGTCCATTGCAGTTATGTTTCCTTATCAGCCCTACCTTTGCTCATTCCCACAATGAATGGATGAGCTTAATTAATCCACTCCTTTTGCTGTTTGCTCTGTTTTGTCCTAAAACCTGCTTGCATTTGTGTAGATCTTTCTGTAATAACATCTGAAAGGTAAGTCCTTGTTTTATTTGTATGAGACTGTTCCAAGTCGTCAGATGAAAGGAAGTGGAGGCATCACCGTGTTATGAGGAGCAGTGTGATGTTATAGAAAGGGTGCTTACCTGGACATCGAGAAGTTCCAGGTTTTGGTCCCAGCGCTAAGCAATACTCACTTGCCCTTCTCTCCTCCAGCCCTCTGTTTCTTTAACAGTAAAATGAAAGAGTTGGAGGAGATGATCAATCTCTAAGAACTCTTTTGTCTCCTGATATTAGCGGTCTCTTAACCCTAGAGTCTCTGTGAAGAGAAATATTGAGTTTGTGATAGGTTAGTAGTAATGCTTGCTCTCAAAGCATAAAACAAAATGCATGTGTAAAGTACTTGTTTTGAATCTTTTAGTGGCAAGGGTCTTTAGGGGTCATCTAGCCCAACTCCCTTACTTTACAGATAAGGAAACTGAGACCTAGAGAAGATGACTTACCAAAGGTCCCATAAAGAGTTGGAGCAGAAACTGCAGTCTCTTTAAGTAATAGATTTAAAAATTAACTCCCAAACCCACAACTGTATTTTCCACATGGTAAAATTTAATTTACAGGACTACATTAGACCATCACCTATCCAATGGGTGTCATAAGCTTGTAGAAGAGAAAACATTGCCTATAAAACACCAACACTTTATCTTGAAGTTAATTCTAACTTCCCTCCCTGCTGTACAGAAAAACAACAACAAGAACAATTAGGAAGTTAGAAAGGTCTGACATGAGAACCCAGGAAAGCGATAACTCAAGAATGGTCTTACGGAATATATTGGTAGGTGGGGAGGGAGAAGGAAGGCCTTGTATCATGCAAACCATTTAGAACTATGGAATTTCTCAGAGTAGAAACCTTTTGTAATATCTTCATTTTAAAATCTGCAGAGACTGTCATGTTCCATGTCTTACAGCCATATAATAACACTAATTGAATATTGTTATTAAAAAGATGGACTTTTGTTTTGGGGAAAAGTCTGTAGTCATTAAAGAAAGTTTTGCAATTTCCTAAAGGCAATCAACTCTCCTTTTGTTTAATTCTGGACTCATCTTATTATCTATTTATACTCTCTATCCTAGGTATGCTGACAGATAAACACTGTAGGTTGTCTATACAACTGCATGTCATAATTTGAATAGGTAATTTTTTCATCCACTTGGTTTTTCCCCTGTGAATTGTTAGACTAAATTCAAATTTGAGAGAGTTTCAGGTTTTGTATACTGTTAGGTAAAAATTGCATTTTTTTCAAAATTAAGAAATAGAAACTAATTTGAAAATAAAAATCCACTCCAAACTGAAAGTAGAAATCCCACTTCTCAGTGTTTCTTCATGCATATGTCTGTGCCCTCAGGGAGATAGACACAAGGGATGATCATGATGGTCTTGAAATTTTTCTCACCTTCTGATCATTTTCTTCTGCTCAATATTGGAATGAAAGGGATTTATTACCCAATTGTTTCATTTAATAAACGAGGAAACCCAGCATGCTGCTTCCATATACCTACTTTAAGCTCATCTCTCCTGGAGATATAGGAAGAACACTGCACGAATCCTAGCATCCTGAGATTTATAACTGGAAGGCACCTTAGGGATCATAGAATCCTACCTTCTCATTTGACAGATGAATAAACTGAGGCACAGAGCAATTAAGTGACTCAATCAAAGCCAAGGAGATCCAGGATTTGAACCTAGGTCTCTTGATCCCAAAGTCAGCCCTCTTTCCATCACACCATGCTGGCTTTTGCTGTTACCAGTTATGAGAGATTATTTTCTTCCACAAACATATGATGATGGGTAAATCCTATATACCCACTAAAGTTACAGGGGAATCAGCAGGGCTCTCTTTGTGGTGGGTTTATTTCCTTGGTCCTGCAGATATTCAAGCTATATAAACCCTTGGGAAGGTCAGAGTGAGTAGCAATTTCATTGTACTATGAAGAACAGGGATTTGATCAGTAGTAATTATACAAGACTTTGAGTGAGCATGCAATGTTGCATTAGTCATGCTAATCTTAGGACTCCTATACTTTTTGTATACCAAAGGGATACACTCACTTTTGGGGTGGGAGAAGGATGCACTTTGGAGATGCTTGGGGGCTTTTTGGCGTACCAAATCTCTTCAGAATTGCTTTTCACAACTTTCTCCCACATGATTTATAAGTGTGTTCTATAATGTTGTAAATTTGGACAATGGGCTAGTAAATAGTACTGCTTCGAAATACTATTCTTCTTTTGGTGTTTGTATTAAGTGATCATAAAGTCATCATTGTTGAGCCATTTATCAATCATGTCTGACTCTTTGTGACCCCATTTGGGGTTTTTCTTGGCAAAGGTACTGGAGTGGTTTGGCATTACCTTCTCCAGCTCATTTTATAGGTGAGGAAACTGAGGCAAACAGAGCTAAGTGACTTGCCCAGAATCACACAGCTAATAAATGTCTGAGGCCAGATCTGAACTCAGGAAGATGAGTGTTCCTGACTCTAGGCCCAGCTCACTATCCATTGCACCACTTAGCTGCACTGATCTTAGAGTATCATGATAATAACATTTAGAACATGGAGAACTTAAACATAATCAAGTCCAACTTATTTATTTTACTGAGAAAGAAAATGAGGGCCAAAGAGGATGTCACTTGTTTAAGGTCTTAGAGGTGGGATTCAACTCTGAATCCACTATTCTTGTCACTATACCAAAAATTCTTTAGAAAAAAAGGAACCTGAAATAATAATTATTTCTACCATATCAGTAGCTACAGGGTGGGGAGAGCATTGGACTTGGAATCAGGAAGACCCAAGTTCAAATCCTGCCTCAAGATACTTATTCGTTATATATTCTGGGCAAGTCACAATCTCTGTCTGCCTTAATTTCTTCATCTGAAAAATGGTGATAATAATAACACCTACATCCTATATTTATAAAGCTCTTTGCAAACTTTAAAGAGTTATATAAATGCTAGCTATTCTTTTTATTCTTAATGTACTTCCTCTCCTTATCCACCATTTTCCTGATGGAAGCTGCCAAGGGGCCATGTAAGACAATCAGTCTTATACAAAAATTTCTTCTACACTAGTGTCCCCTTGTAAAAGTCCAGAGGGTCCTTGGATGAAAGATCCTGAGAGCTAGGCTCTATTGCTACTACTCCTAGCTGTTATTTCCATAACTTCTCAAGATTAAAAAGTGAGTGCTTTCCTCACAACTGGACTATAAGGTAGCCAGCACAAATGTCATTATCACTATTTTATAGATTGGTCAATCAATCGATAAGCATATATTAAGAACTTATTACATGCCAGGCACCATGCCGGGTGTTGGAAATATACAGATAAAAATGGAATAGGCCCTGCCTCTAAGAGGGGCCTTATAATCTTTCAGGGAAACAACATGCATATGTGTAAGTGAATACAAAATACAGGGTGTCCCAAAAATCTTAGTTCAGTCTTAAGCTGTTAAATCTGTAAAAATGCACTAAGATTTTTAGGATACCCTATATAAGCATGATATTTTCAGGTGGGGAAATCTAACAGAGGCAAAGGGTGGAGATCAGGAAAAGCCTGACATGGAGTTTAGACTGAGCTTCCATAAAAGCTAGGAATGTTAAAAATTCAGAGTATATGATTTCCAGGCATGGAGGACATATGCAAAGGCATTGAGACGATAGGCAGCAGTCTTCTCCAGGTTAAACATATCCAGCCCCATTCAACTGGTCCCGCCATGGTATACCATCTCAAGACCTTTCACCATTATTTGTCACTCTTCTCCAGTTTATTAATGTCCTTTCTAAAATGTGCTGCCCAGAACAGAACACAACATTCAGAGATGGTTTGATAATGGCAGAGTAGAGATAGACTGTCACCTTCCTTTACAAAAAATGTGATTGCTGATCTCCATGAAGCTTAAACTGCATTATCCTGGAAGAAAAAGCAATATTGTGGAATCTGCATTTTGCAGTGAATTTAATGGTGTCAGTTGAGATAGAAATTCTGAGAGACAAGGTTCCAAACAAGAGCAATCAATTTATTGTTAGTTAGCCTAGCTTCTTCTTGTTTTGTTGAGTCATTTCAATTGTGTCCAACTCTTGGTGACCCCGTTTGGGGTTTTCCTGCCATTTCCTTATTCAGCTCATTTTACAGGTGAAGAACTGAGGCAAACAGGGTTAAATGACTTGTCCAGGGTCATAGCTAGTAAGTGTCTGAGGCCAAGTTTGAACCCTGGTCTTCCTGATTCCAGAATCAGTGCTGTATTCACTGTACCACCTAGTTGCTTCTAGTTAGGCTAGCAGTAACCAATAAATTGGATCATTGGCCTCTCTTGATGACCTAGAGTGAGGGCCAACAGGGCCTTTTAAATGTAGGAGTCTCTTCCTTCTGACTGGCCTGACAGTACATTATTTGGACCTCCCCTGGCAAAGGCAAGGCAAGGCAAGGCAAGGCAATCCCAATGGGTCAACATTTTAATGAGGAGGTGGGTTAAGAGTTCTCAGCTGCTCCATATTCATCCTTCCTTGTCCACCCCTCTTCCCACTAATACTCAGGTGATGGCATCAGCTTGCAGCTGGGGAAAGTGGGCCGGCCTTCAGACATTCCTGATTATACCCCTGTCTGACACTTTCAGAAGGCTAGTTGCTTTAT